ATATATATATATATATAGCTATAGATATACTTATTTATTATTCATTCATGGCATTGCTGGATATCTGCAGACTTAGGTTGGCATATGCTTAACATGCTGGTTTATTTATCTTCTGTACATAACCGTATAAGCGGGGCGATTTAGAGCCTACAGCCGTTGAAGCGACCCTGATTCCGGGGATGATTGCAAGGTGTTCGCATCCCCTAAACCCCAAACCCTCAAATTCCGGTTGGCTTCCCGGATCCTGCAAGACAAAACAGGGACACTTCCGCCAAAAATCTTAATCCCCAGTACTTAATCCTAAACCCCAAACCCTAAGCCCTAACCCCCAATAGAACCCAAGCCCAAAAATAGGTGCCGCTTCGAGTTTCCTCGGCGGGCCGATCCAACCCAAATCGGCCAAGGACTCCAAATGAGAAGCTTCTATGAGGGTGGTATAAGGGTTCATGCGTAGGTGTTCGTTGAAGGTGTTCTCTCTCGGTCTCTCTTCGAGGGTGGCTGCACGCACATGTTTGTCAGCTGCATCACAGGTTTAAGGACTTGGAGCTTTCTTCTCCATTTCGAGGGTGCAGAGCAGGGGTTCTCTCCAGTTGTGTGGTGTTGAGGCCCCCCCCCTTCCCTGCAGGCTCCAGTTAAGTGCAAGGGGCATGTAGGGCGTTTCACCAGAAATCCTCCAGCTCAGAAATGCATAGCTGCATTGCGAGAGAGTAGCGTGGGAGGGACATCAGGCGCCTTTGGACTCAATGTCAGAGTCTTTCAAAGCTACAGGGTAACGAGGTGCATTTAGGGCTCAGGACTCAAGGACCCTCCTAACCCTGAACCCTAAACCTAAACTCTTGCAGACCTTGCCAGGCTTGTCCGAGTGTGAGTGTCAAAAGAGACCCTAAACCCTAAACCCGAAACCCCTAAACCTAAACCCTAAACCCAGATATCGCAGGGTCTCTCAGAACTTTCGCTGCGAGGCTTCAGTCGTGAGGAAGTATAAGGAGGCTAGAATCCCTAATGTAGGAACCTGATTACTATGACCCGGTAAAACCCCTGCAAGGCCCTCCCCAAATAGACAGCCACTGTTTTTCGAAAGCTCCAGAGGCCTCAACATCCCGGCGAAGCTTACAGTCTTAACCCGAACCACAGTAACTTCAGCGAGGGCAGGGCTGGGTCTCAGAGTCTAGGCTTTAGGGCTCAGGATTTTTGGTTTAAGGACTCAGCAAAAAGCTCAGGGATTGTAGAGTTTCGACGTTTCCACAAGGACGCCTTCCAGCTCCTCGCAGCGAAGGGCCAACCAGAGTGGCTCCTCCCCACCTGCTCTGCGGCTGCAACAGGAAGAGGCTCTTCGTGGGTGCTACGAATTAAAAGGAGCAGAAGGAATCAGCTCAAACAAAAGGCCCGACGGTGTGGGGATAGCTAAACAAAGCTGATCATGAGTAGTTCTATATGATGGATATCAACGCCAATGTACTCGACCGTGAGAAGCCGTACGTATGTTTAGCCACCTCAAATTTTTTCAAGACACGACAAGTTGAAGCCACTGTAGGCTGTTGTTGCCGTCAAGCTTGTGTCCCTGAAAACCAAGACTCTCGCACCCCCTCGCAAGGTTAGGGAGGGCAAGGACACCGGTACCGGGTCCACTCCCCTTCGCCCAGAGAGCGCATCGGATAGCCACAGCCCGGCAAAGGGCAATGGCTGCTCAGCTTTGATAGCATTAGCTTATGGGATGCCGCCTTGTTGGGGTTACAATTTCGTAAAGGAGCGATCTAAGGGTACTGAAGCTGCGACAGTTCCAGATATAAAGTAGGCAGCCAAAAGATGAGAGTATGCTTGGTCCGGCTCTGCGGGCTCGCAAGACTGGCTTCCGGCTATGTGAGCTGCCGTAGGCCAGCTCTGGACGAGTTCCTAAACCCTACACTGACGCTAAACCCCTGAACCCTCAACCCCTAAACCTTCACAGTATGCGATGCCTGCCTTGTGCGAGTGTGTGAGTCGAAACCCTAAAACCCCAGACCCTAAACCCCTGGATTGTCCGAGTGCGAGCGCCGAAACCCAGGGGTTGCTGGGAGGGCCGAGGGCCGAGAAGAGTTTAGGGCGAGTTTGTCATTGTGGCTTTGGGCTTTGTCCAGTAAAGCCAGGCAAGCAACACCAAACCATTGTAGATTTTGGAATCCGAGCTTCTACCGGGGACGCCGGAAAACGTCACACTCACCCCAAGTTCGACTGAACCCTGGGCGACCCGTGGAAAGAAACTAGCGAAAAATTGGCGCGAAAGACGGGCCCGAAGCCCGAAGCCGAGTTCGAGTGTCACAAGCCTTAACCACTGCAGTCCTGAGGTAGCCTCACCACGGTCATCTCATCCGCTTTGGATTACAAGCGGTTTCTGGATCGGCGTAAGCAGATGATCCAGCAGCAGGCGCTTTGGGGTTGAAGGGGTTTGGGCTTGAAGCCTGCGTGGTGTGCTTGCCACCGACTTCAATGACTTCAAAATCGTGTATCATAAAAGATGAAGTTGTATATGTACATACACATGTATCTATGTATAACTGTGTTAATGTATTAGCTTTGTTGTTTGTAGTATGTCCGGGGGAGGCGTTCTTCAGTCGTGCTGCTTGCAAACCTGAGTATTCTATCGTTTGCGGTTTGGGGTCTGTCTGCTCTCCGGCTCTCTTGCAAACAGCAAGCCAGAAGCCAATGCTTTCCAACACTACATACGAAGGAAATTAACATGAGCATTCATCATTGTTATCATCAACTACATCACCTCAATGCTGGACACAATCGAATGTGTGCAGCTGAAGCCCCTGAAAAGGCAGGCGGTAGTGTTCATATCATGGTTTGTCGTTGTCTGAAACCCTCCATAAAAATCTGCAGCAGAGGGTCTTTCCCCCGGCTCTGCTCGATTTGCAGGTAGAGACAGCGTGGCTGGGCGGATCTATGCTGCAGACTACCAGTAGCACCAGCTCAGGGTTTGGGCGCGTTGAACACTGTTCGTTTCAGCCGCTTTCCGCAGAGAATGTGTCGACTTTGCGGGCGAGCCTGACCCATGACCACAACCACAAAAGCCCCAGTCCTGCAGCCATCGCGAACGCTCACAATCCGAAAGCAGACAGTGGCAGAAGGGACCACGTGAGCTCGCCCTTAGTACACAGCCCTGCGCTGCATACACGCGCTGCCATTGGCCTAGTGGTCCGTCTAAGGCAGCAAGCAGACCACGTTCAGAAGAACGACGCAACGCGGCTGAACCAGTTCAGCACATGAATGCTGAAGCTACGGTGGGTCCTCCATGTAATTGTTGGCACAGGGTATTTCGGGCTGCTGGGTTTCGCAATTAAGAACAGTCCTTCCATCTCTTTAGCCTTAGCTGCAGGCCCCGACACCTCAGGGCCCAAACTCTTCAAGACAGTGAGAACTGCATTGACGGCATGTTAGCCGACGGACTACCATAGCAGCAACGGAAGAGTCTCGTCATAAGGGCAGAAAACCCTTCAATGCTGGAACATGCCCTGCTGATAAGCTTGACACAGCGGGAGGAAGTAGGGTTTAAACGAGGCCTTTCGGTTGCCGAGCCCTTTTGGTTCACGGTTGTGGGCACAGGGTTCTGGGTGTTTTCTGAGCCAGCGTGCATTCCAAATACGATGCACATGTCCGGTCCGACCCTCCGAAAGCAACTTCTCGACCAAGCGCAACTTTGCTTTTTGCTGTTGCGAAAGCATTAAGCTGCAAGCCCTTCAGCCCTCGTGGTCCCGTTCCAGAGGCCTTGCAGCTCGACGAGAAAAGCAACATAGCTGACCTCCCCAAAGCCCCACACGGCCTCACCCCTGAAATCTTGATCCTTAGATAAAATACTAGCCGATGCCGCGATCCTTGTTCTCAAGTCAAAACCCTTGACCTCAAATCTACACCACCCGAAGTCTTGTACTGCAATAGTCGGGTACTTAGGCGGAGGGAGAGGAGACGCAACCGACACGGCAAGCAGGCAGACCCGGGGGAAGTGACCAGCTTGGCAGGTTAGGGTTTTGTTTTACCAGGGAGTGGCTTGGGGTTTGGTGCGGTACGGATTGAGGGCTTGGATACTTTGGAGCTTGTTCGTGCTACCAGAGCCTGCCGCGTCTTATATGCCGCATGCCTATGAAGCTTCATGCAGCCTGAAAGCTATCAATTTGTTACTTCATCCTAGCCTTGCAGTACTGAGTGCGTTAGCCTGAAGTCCCAATAATAATCTTTGCACTCTCACATATCACAGTCTCAACTCAACTCCCAAGCCCTTACGCAACTGGCGGTCCCGAGCCGAAGAGCCCACATCCGAGACCACAGGTGACTATGGACTGAACCCTACTATAATCCCGATATCCATCCTGAACCCGAAAGCCTAAATCCAGGAACACCACACCCCTAAACCGAATTGGGGCGGATTGAAGAGCCGAATAAGTCCTCAAGGCCCAGAATCCCGGGAAACGGGATAGGATCTATAGGGGTTTGGGGTTTCGCACGAGCTGACTTTGTCTCTGCCCATTCTGGCACATTAAAGGGTGCCAGGCTGGAATGCACGCGCGACGGGCCCGGTCAAGGCAAGCCATGCCGTGGCGGTGCCCCGGCCAACATGAAAGGAGCTTCAGACAACCAGCCGGTTTAGGGTTCAAACATCCATCCCTAAGAGAATCGAGGGCTTGATATCTGTTGTTTCGTGTGTGTGGGGGGTTCGGAGATCTACCGAGAGAGTCTACTACGAGCAGGGCGCAGGACTAGCGGACCAGCGGCTCGGGTTGACAATTGAGTTGACGCGTGTCTCTAGGACTCTAGGTCGAGGCTTCGGGGCGTGGCAGACTCTGGCAGACTTTTGTTGATGTTGGGTTGAAGCTGAAGTCTTTCGCTGAGGGGCTGACCCTAAACCTCAATTTTCCAAACCCTAAACCCTTCAGCGCTTGTTCATTCCTCGGGATTTCTTGAGAATGAGGGACAGCGCTACTCCTTAGCCTCGAGATTCTGCTGCGGTGCTGTGAGCTGGGACTCAGAATTACTCGAAGGACAGCAATCAGAGGTGCGGGGGATAAGGATTCGGATCCTGTTCAGTGTCAAGTGCTCTACAGACCGGCAACGCTGAGGTCCTCCGGTGAATGTGCCTTTTGCTGTAAACAGCTCCCTCTCTAAGAGTCTTCACATGACGCGTCCAGGTTCTCGTCGAGAAAGGCCGCATCACCAGCATTCGTTCCAACATGCTGCCCCGTGAAACTCCAAAAGTTTTGAGCACAGACACACCGACAAAACCCTACACCCAAACCCTTTCTTACAAAAGCAGGGTTTCACCTTGTTTGTGTTGAAGGAACGCCTGGAATCCACCCCGCAAACCTTACACCTGTACCGTGAAACGAAGCCCCAATCCTCTTAAGTTTCAAACTGCTAAAAAGGATGACATGCCTTTATCTGATTTTAACTTTGCTGTCGAGGTTCCACCTTCCGCTGCCGTGCCAGCGGTGAGCCCCAAGCGGCCGCCTCTCGACACCAGCAAGTACCCGAATCATTGAGGGTTTCGGAGGGGTGTAGGGTATTTGTATTTTTTATACGGGGATCATAGGAGACAACTGCCTTTCCAGACCTCTACAGGTTATGACTGAGCCTTGGATGCGCAAAGCGCATGAGTTTGGAGTCTTCAGACACGAGGGCTGAAGCTTCCGCGTGAGGCGGGCATGAGGGCATGTGCACAGAAACTCCTCCTCTGAAAAAAAGACCTCTAGGTTAGGGGCAGTGTGTGCACGTTGTTGTGCTGTGGCTGAAATGCTGCCGAATCATCTAGTTTAGCTGAGCTTCACCATGGATAGAGCGATGGGCGGACAGGCGCACGGATGATGGATGCATGCATGGATGGATGGATGGACGGAGGGATGGATGGACAAATGTGTGCATGCGTGCGTGTGTTTATGTACACAGGCACAGGCATACATGCGTACATGCACAAGTATGTACACACATACATACATACATACATGCATGCATTCGTAGGTACCTTCATACATGCATAGATGCATACATACATGTGTCTATGTATGTTTCGCACGCAGTTGTCACATGACGTTCCGGCTAGTTTCATTACTCAGCCACGCATAAATGTGGAGTTGGCCAGGCTTCCACTCTCATTTCTAGGTTTCATAACTGCACCGCTTTATGTAGTGACTACAGAGCAGTTGCTTGACTGTGTCTTGCGTTATTGGATAATGGGCACTCGCACAGCGGCAATGCTATTGATGCAGGTTTGCAGTTACACCTGGGACTTGTGACCAAGACAGTGGTCTTGCAGCTACATGCGAAGATAACGCGTGGGCTATTCTCAATCTTAGTATTGGGCCTGGCTAGTTGGGCATAAATTACACTGTTCGGTGGCATTATCTGTGTTGCGGTTCTTAGAATATGGTGGCAGTCAGTCTTAAGGCTAACAACCTTTAACTCCTCAACACTAAATCCACCAGGTCCCGAACCCCTAAATCCCCCAGGTTCTGTAAGACCTTTGAGTCCGAGGTCTTCCACAACGCCAACGAAAGCCAGCGGGGAGGAGAGCCCAACAGAGGCAGGGGAGCGGAATGGTGCAGTTGGTGAGCCGGAGAGGTTCAATTTCTTAGTTCCCCAATACCCAACCTTTAAACTTTTTGGGTTCTTATAATTTAGTCGTAATCTTAAAGTTTAACCTTCTATTCCCTCGCAGAAGCCAGCCAGAAATTAAGGACTCTCCGTGAGTGGCATCCCGAGAAAACTCGCCCGTATATCCTTTAGAATGGAGCCGTGTAGTATTCTAGCCGTTGTGCAATCCATGACCCAGATTTGATGGGCGTATGGGGAAAATCCCCAAATCATATCTTAGACAGTGGCTCAGCCGATTCTCACTGGAAGAGGACTCCGGGACGCCCGGATCGGCAAGAAGTACCTCGCCGGCGCACCTCCTGCGCCGTGTTTGTGTGCCACCCGTCTGACGTAGATGGGTAGTTCTCCAAATTAGGGTCCCTTTTTAGGCCCCCAATATAGTACGGCACCCTTATAAAAAGGACCCTACAAGGGACCCTAGTTTTAGAGAACTACCCAGATCTGTTCGGCAAACTCACAGAATCCTGAGGTCTTGCAACCGAAACCCTAAAAAGGGCTTAGGGTGTTCGCAGGACGGCGAAGGATTTCGCAGATACTGAGCGGCTTTAGGATTGGGATCTAAGGCGGTTTTGATCAGAAACAAAGTTGTATTTTGGCGTTCGCTGTTGCTTGACTTCAATGGTTTTAATTTGTTTCATGGAGCTTTTGCTATTTGCGGTGTTTGGCTCAGGGGCCTTCTATTGCCCTAAGACCCTAAACCCTAAAATTCGTGCCTGCCTAGTGCGAGCGTGCGAGTCGAAACCGCGAAGGTTTGTTGGGATTGCAGCCCTGTGCATCTCGGGTGCCTTGAGGGTTTCCGAGACTCTGCAGGCCAGTTTCCCAAAAGGTCCCCAGCGAAGACCCAGCCCGAACAGATCAGGGAGGGCGCTGCCTCAGAAGAGGGGGTCGGAAGAAGTGGTAATATTTCCAAAAATTTCCTTCCAACCCCCAATTTGCTTTCAGAAATTCAAATCCTATTCGAGTAGTTGAGGTCGCTAAAAAATATTGGCTAATCACCATAGAAAACCCCTGAGACGCCCCTGCCTGGATCCTAAACTTCCGGACCAATGAGGATGCCAGAGAAGCAACGTGCTCAGATGCTTGGCTGTTTAGGGTTTAGGGTTTGGGGTTTGGGGTTTAGGGTTTAGGGTTTAGGGTTTGGGGTTTAGAGTTTAGGGTTTGGGGTTTAGAGTTTAGGGTTTGCCAGAAGACGGAGACATGAGCTGAGCTGTAGGGCACAGTTGCGTTTAGGGTTTTGTCGTATGGGGAATAGCTCCCTTGCCAACTCTAATGTAGGGGCCTAAATTATTACCTACCTTATTGTATAATGGGCCCCAAAACCCAATTCTAATTATTAGGGTCCCTATATTAGTCACTACCTTGCAGTCAAGATTTCCAGCAAAGAGACCCTGCGCACCCTTTGCCCCAGGCTAATGGTCTATCAACGTCAAGGGTCTCCTCAGAGGGTACATGGACTCCATGTGTATGGAGTCGTAACTTGTTGAACGTAAATGGCGTTGATGCTCTTCTTTGTAAGTTTCGCGCAAGGTGGTGTCGTGTGCTCGGACATGTCACTTCCTCGCAAGCCCATCTTACGCTGTGCTACTTAGTGTAGTGTTGAGTGGGGTTGTGCACCGGTGGAATTGTAAGGAGTTGCTACATGGTTCCAAGACTATCACAGTGAGGTGTGTGTGTGTGTGTGTGCAAGTATGCATGCATGCACGCATGCATGCATGTGTGTGTGTATATATATATATATAGATGGTGTATGCACATGAAAATGTATATGTATATGTATACATTTATATGTACATATGCATACGCATGCATATGCATATGCATATGTATACCTATGTATAGGTATATGTATGTGCATATGTGCATGTATGTACATATACACATAGCACATATGCCATGTATCTGTTATAAGTATGTGCATGTAAGTATACATACATACATACATAATAGGTATGCATGCATGTATGTATGTGTGTGTGTGTGTGTATGCGTGCATGCATGCTGACTTGCGTGGATGGATGGATGTGTGGATAGATGGATGCAATTGTGCAGTTCCGCAGGAACTACCTACCACTGTACCTTGCAGCTTTGTGTCACGGTTTTGAAGTCGTAGTGATGTTCCAGCGTTCATGCCGTTCAATCGTTTGTTGCTTGCGCATGGTTTCGGGTATTCGGTGTGGTGCTGTGAGGGCATCAAAGCCAGCCGGCAAGCTCAACAGCGCCCGGTTCAACGAGGAAAGACCGCAAACCCCAGACCTTTGGAAGGTAGGAGACCCTAGACGAAGCAGAAAACCGCTAAGCCTCCCTGAACCCTACTGCCCTATACGGCTCGTCCGAGGACCCCCACTTCACGTGCCACCCAAAGTGCGGCGACGGCCGCACCAGGCAGTATCAGTACGAAGCGGACAACGCGCATGGAAGAGCATAGACATACATAAGCCACATGAGAGAGAGAGAGAGAGATATATATATATATATACACATTATGGCAGAGTCTGTCTATAGTCTGTACAACGACAGAGTTATCAGAAGTGTTACCAGGCTGTTACCATTCGTGTTTCGATTGACGTTTCTTCAAGGTCAACATGAGGATACGCCTTTCTTCATGGTTCTCATTATTCCTATGGCTTGTCGAGGTGGTTCTGTACAGAGCACAAAGGCGGGCTTAGGGTTGCTTGGGGTTTCAACAGGCCTCGGACGAATCGCTTCTCTACACCCCTGCAAACTTCCCTCTGGACACCGGAACCCCTATGCCACCTCATGAATCCGTCCCTGCCATCGGGCGAGTGTGCGAGTCGAAGCGCTAAGAAGCGAAAGCACGAACGCACGAAACCCAGATACCTTAAATCTCCTAAATCCTAAACCTCGGACCGGAACGCCCTAAATCCCCTGGGAGGTGTAGACTCCGACAGCGTCGGCCGTGTTTCTCGTGCATCCGGGCTGCACATATCTGGGCTGTGCAGCCGACAGCTGGGGGTTCAGGGGGTTTAGGGTTTGGTTCTAGGTTTAGGTTTTTAAGGTTTCGGGTTTAGGGCTTTGAAAAAGGGCTAAGATTCTTAGGGTTTGAGCTCAGGATGTCGGGCTTATGCTTAGTCCCGGGACATTTCCATGCAGCATCAACCCTCAACAATCCTAACCCCAAAAAACCCCCTTACAAAACTTACCGGCCATCTCAGTTTCGATTGCTTTCCCTGATCCACAATCCAGGACGTACTAGACTCTAGGGGCTCGGAATACTGGCGAGAAGTGCTGACAAATCCCGAAGAGCTGCAGCCCTCAAGACCTCGAACTCTCGAGCTCCCCAAGCTCTAAAGTTCCCAAAGCCCCAAGAGCCGTTGGGTTTAGGGTTTAGGGGTTTAGGGTTTAGGGAAAAGTTTTAAGCCCTAAACCCTCAAACCTCTAAGCTCTTTTCAGCCCAAACCCCGTTAGAAGACATGTCAATGTCTCCTTTGGCGGGCCCCGCGAGTTTGGGGGCTGGGGCTTAAGGTTTAGGTGTGGGCCATCGTGTAGAAGAATATACTACGTTACATGAGATACAGTAAAATGAGTTTATGTAATGTAATTTAAGATCATAGAATACAATATAACAGAATAGAGTATGAAAGAATATCACATAGTACAGTATAGTGTAGCATAGTGTAAACAAGCAATTTCATGCCATATCCCATCAGGGCATGTGCTATGGTATCATAAAATGCCATGCCATATCATATAATACCGCATCAAATCATACCATGTACCATGTATCCTATACGTAACATATTTCATGCACCATATACCATGTCATATCATACCATGTCATGTCGTATCAGAACACAACACAACATGTCATACAATAGACTATGGCCCAGCACTATCTTTCAACCTCATATATTATCAAATGACACATAATGCAAATCACATAGCATAAACAGAGACATAATATTATAGATCATAACCAAACTTACTATAAAAAATACAGCACAAACACAGACTGATGTGGTATCAAATGCTCAGATATTATGTAATGTAACACCAAATAATAGACTGTGCTTAGCATTATCTAATTAGAACATGAAATACCGCACTAGACTGGACTAGACTTCACCATACGTTACTGTACTATACTTCGATGTACTAAACAGTAAGTACTTCTATACTATAGCTGATACACTGTGCAACAGGAACAACAAATCTGGTAATACATAATGTGATATGCTATGATGTGATATGATCTGAGCGGGTACGGTTTAGCATTGCGGAGGTGTCATTGCCAGCTGGCGCTGGCGTTCAGGCCGAGCTCTTGGCTTTTTCTGGTGCGTGCTAGAAGGTTAGGGTGGTCAGGGCTGCTCCACAAAAAAACCTTAGGGTCTATGGGTTGCTTGAAGGTTTTGGTCGCTTCCTGGCCGAGAGAGCATGAGAAGACTTGCCAGATTTGAACATAAGACTCCTTCATGCTGCTGATGCTAGGGCTGCTAGGGACCACAGCCCTTTTGCCGATTACTCTTTTTTGCACCCCTTAATGATCGACAGCTCCTCGCTCTACCCAGAACCTGTAGAAGTCTTCCGCTGGGCTGGAACTGACACAGTCTCAGTGGGGGGGCCACACGAGCTCGATGTTCATTTCTGAAGATGGCTCCCTATAGACCCCACCACCTCCGCCCCCCCAACCTCAAACAAAAACCCTTCGTCATTTGACCTCCACGTCCTCCCGGCAGGCATGTCGAAGCCTGGGGCAGCCCCTACGTCTGTAAAGTTTGAGATGCCAGGAGGGAGTGGTTCCGGCTTGAGGTTTGGGTTTAGGGATTCCTAAACCCTATCAGCCCTAAACCCTAAACCCTCAACCGGATCGGGGAAGGAGCCTTGGGATTGTAGGGCCTGGTACTCTGCAATCCTGATGTCCATACGGTAAGCGGCTTCCCTAAACCGACCCTACAGCCCTATGTACCCTGTGGAACTCGGAGAAGGGAGTCTGGCAGGGTTGAGGATTTTTGGATCGCGGGAGTTCGGGAAGTTGGACCACGGGAGGCTTTTGAATGTTTGGCCGTATCTTTGACGGATGCGGACGAAGGCTTACACTATGCGGGGCATTTATTCTTGTTAGGTTGGGGGTTTTTGTGATTTCGGAACAGTAGCGTGAGTCTATGCGGATGTCACGCTCTAAGCGCCGGGGGTCCCCATCCATCCCTATGGCTTTGCACTTTCTGCGATTTGTCCTGCTTGAAACCGAAGTCCCCAACGACCGGAAACATCCTTACACCCCCAAGCCCGAAACCAGAGCTGTTATGTCCTAGACCTACATGCTGAACCTCCCACCGTGGAAGGCACACTCGCCCACCCGTAAACCCGAGTCTCCAGAGACTGAGCCGCAGCAGCATTTGCCAAGCAACATGTCCTAGACCACCAAAGCAACCATTGACCACCCTAAGGGGCGAGCAGAAGGGCGAGATCGTCGGGGGTTTCTCCAAAGAGGCAACCGAGGCCGCCGACAGCTCATCAATTGACAGATTCTCTCGCGCGCCGTCGCACTCGCGCTCGTGCTCCTCGTCAAGATTTCGCTCTGTCTCGCTCGTTCTTTCTCTCTGTCTCTCTCTCTCTCTCTCCCTCCCTCCCGCCTTCCCTCCCTCGCTCCCTGCATGCATGCATGTATGCATGTACGTATGTACGTATGTATGCATGTATGTATGCTTGTATGTATGTGCATTTCTGCGTTTATACTTATATTCGTTTACATTTAATGACATGACTCTGATTATTGTTTAATGTATATCTTTATCTAAATGTGCGCATATATATATATATATGTATATTTATATGTATACATTATATATATACACACACCACACACACATTTGTATTATTTGCGCATGCCGGCTTAGGATGGGCACGCCGAGTTTCCATGAGACTCGTGTGCTCATTGTGCTCGTGTGTTTGTGTATGTTGAGGTTCCATTGCAGCTTTTTGTACAAATGTTCAAAGCAGTCAGTCAGTTGGTTTAACTGGATGTAGATGTGACGAAGACACATCAAATGGGTACTGCGACCATCCCGAAAGTCACCTAAATGCGAATCTCAGGCTCGGTCTCGAAGCATGAAGTGTTTGCCCCAGATCCAGGTATCAATGTCCGATGTACTTCTGTCAGACCAAAGGAAGAGCTGCGGTACAACAAACATTGCATGGATGCTCCGACACTGCGGTACTTCATAGCGTCACCCGCACGAAGAACTCACTTTGCCCAAAGCTTATAGGGTCACAGAACAGCCCCCGGCAGACCACTGGCGAAGTCTCCGGCCGCAAGCAGCGTGACTCCTTCGATGTGCTTTTGAAGGCAGCTTGGGGCAGAGGGTTCAGGCTGATGGTCTTAGGATTTGGGTTTAGGGCTCGTCTAGATTTCAATGTGCCTTGAACCTCCAGGGCGGTGTGGGTTGTTTCTGTTTCAAGCTGGGCATGGATCCGGGTTTCTCGATCGGCAAACGCCTCGTGTTTGCAAGAGAATGGGCATTGATCGGTGAGAGGTGCCCGTGTATACCAGACCACAGCCCGGCCAAAACAGAGAAACACAGGCAGAGCCGATGGGCATGACATTGCAAATGCTAGTCCATGCGTCTGGTGTCCCGATATGTGTATGTTGATGCGCATGTACTCATGGAGTGGCGTGGCATGGCATGGGGCACATGCAGCATGGGTTGGCCTCGTCGGTCTCGTTTTGTCGTGTATCGCCTGCGATGCAAATACACCTTCACTGTTCCTTTTGTCAGGGTAATGTACTGTACCGGAATATACTGAGGCAACAGTAAGGTAAGACAGGGCAAGGTCATTATTTCAAAGTACTGTAGTAAAAAAAACGTACTGTGTACTATGCTGTATTATGTTGATTTGTACCGTATTGTAGCACATTGCATTCCACTGTATTGCATTGTGTTCTATTAAACCGGTTTTTCATATTGTGTTGTCGTGCAATCGTACGGTATTGCATTAAATTGAATTGTATTCTCTCGTATCGTATGTTAAAGCTTATCCTAGTGCTTTGCAGCGGCACCCTGGAACCGCCCAAACAGCATCCGCATTGTTCAGAACCCCTTGATGAGATATTGGTCACAAACAAGCATGCAAAGATTTGTCCTTGATCAGTATGATGAGAACAAGTTCAAAAGAGCAAATCCTTGCCTAAAGAACCAAACTCAACCACTTCACCTCGTTGTCTCAGCCAACCCAAGGACGACATGAGCGATGGGCGTCCGAGCACCAGCCTCACAGGGAGTTCCCTGGACGACTACATCGTGGCTTGGGCTCGACCTCCATACAGTTTTTGTGTATAGATATTCACACACCTACACGACTTGATTTTTCAGTTTTGTGTTTTAGTTAGTTAGCTGTGTAAAGGTGTGTTTATGTGCTCCCGCCAGTGCTTCAGTCGTTTACATTTACATTATAAGGATATCTGTTTGGGGGGATCGCTCTGAGTGATTAGACATATCTTATTATCCCTTACTTAGTAGCTGAGTGGATACACTGTCCACTTGTTTAATATTACCCACTATAAACTGAAAGTATACACTTTTGGGATCTTTTGGGGGGCTTACGAACTCAGCCACTAAGCTTGTTCTGTCTCTACGATCCAGTATCGATGAGCCCGCCCTTGCCTCACGAAACCTATAACATGCAACGTCTTATATCTGAAAGTCTTCAACCTCCTAAACCCTAAACCCT